TCAGCATTATATTAAGGGCCTTTGCAAGGATAGGAGAGAGAAAACAACTTGGAATTATTACAGCTGTTAGATTATAGCAAGTGAGGAGAAATATAAGTGAAGAGACAATTCATTATTTTAAAAATGATCAATTACTGACCTCATCACCCATGTGAGACTGAAACTCAAACTTCATTGGTGGACAGAACGCAGCAGGGTACATCTCCATGAATCTCTGCTTATCACTCCGGGGCTCTAAATTATCAACTGCATTCTCAATAATGTCTAAGCCCTCATGTCTGGAGGTTTCAAGGTTGTACTCCGCAGAGAGATATGTTCTTAGGGCTCTATTCAGACTTGCGTGGTAGCCAAGATCACAGCACTTAAAAAGTAAAAGAACACCACATACAAAAATGAATGCAAAATTGATCAAAGACAAAAATGTGAGACCTATAGCTATAAAACTCTTAGAAGGAAACGGGTAAGCTTTCATGATATTGGATTAGGCACCGGTTTCTTGGACATGACATCAAAAGCACAAGCAACAGATGAAAAAATTAATTAGATTCATCAAAATTGAAGACCCCCCCCGTCTCTACTAAAATACAAAAAATTAGCCGGGTGTGGTGGCATGTGCCTATTGTCCCAGTTACTCAGGAGACTGAGCCACAAGAATCGCCTGAACCCGGGAGTTGAAGGTTGCAGTGAGCCAAGATGGTGCCACTGTACTCCAGCTTGGGCTACAGAGCGAGACTCCATGTGAAAAAAAGAAAAAAAAACATAGACACCATCAAGAGAGTGAAAAGAGAACTCATAGAATGGGAAGAAATTTTTGCAAATCATGTATCTTATTAGGTACTTATATCTAGAATATATAAAGAACTCTTAAAACTCAATAATAAAAAGACAAAGCCTAATTTTAAAATGGGCAATGAATCTGAATAGACATTTCTTCAAAGATGACATACAAATGGTTAATAAGCACATGAGGAGATGCTCAATATCACTGGGAAATACTAATGATAATCAGGGAAATGCAAGTCAAAACCACAATGAGATACCACTTCACACCCACTAGGATGGCTGTAATCAATAAGACAGACAATAGCAAGTGTTGGAGAGGATGTGGAGAAATTGGAGCCCTCATACACTGCCAGTGGGAATGTAAAATGGTAGAGCCACTTTGGAAAACAATCTGGTAGTTCCTCAAAAGTTAAACACAGAGTTACCATATGATTCAGCAAATCTGCTCCTAGATATATATCCAAGAGAAATGAAAACATATCCACCTAAAAATGTGTATACAAATGTTTATAGCAGTATTATTCATAATAGCTAAAAGGTAGAAACAATCTAAATGTCCACAAACTAATAAATAAAATATGGTATAGCCATATCATTAAATATTATTCAGCCACAAAAAGGAAGAACTGATACATGCCATAACATGGATGAACTTTGAAAACATTATTCTAAGTGAAAGAAGTAAGTCACAAAAGACTACATACGATTTCATTGACATGAAATGTTCAGAAGAGACACATCTATAGCGATAAAAAGTAGATTGTGGTTGATGAGGGCTAGGAAGAGGGAAGAAGTTGGGGGTGATGGCTGAGAGGTGCAGGATTTCTTTGTGGGATAATGAAAATATTCTAAAATTGATTGTGGTGATGGATACACAACTCTCAGTATACTGAAAGACAGCTATAGATTTATAATGGGTGAACTATGTAGTATGTGAATTATATCTCCATAATGCTGTTAAAACATAAAAGAGGCAAAATCAAATAGCAAAAGAATGAAAAATAGCATTCAAGTTTCATTTGTGCAATACTGAGATTGATACAATCATTTATTGAAATCTGTGTAGGTTGCAAATACACTAACTACAATATTTTGAATTTGCATATTTTATTGAAGATCAAGAATAAACTGTACTCTTTTAGAAGTGAGAAGAACAGGTTAGAATCTGCCAAAATAGTCTAGGAATGCCTTCCCTCTTATCCCCAGAATAAAACTCTTAAATAATAAATGATTGTCAAAGTCTGCTTATTGGAGATAGAATTTCATTTAGTATTCCTAGGAATATAACTGCTTTGAGATTCTTAAATCTTCATTATCTTTAATTTGCATTTGTATTTTTTCATGTTGCACTTTAAGAGAATATGACTTGAAAAAAAGCATAATACTGGAAATTAGTAATCAATTACTGACAATTACTGACAGGCTGATTTTCAATTTGTACATAAAAGCAGTATGAATCACTTAAAGAGGAAAGAAGTGACTTTAAAGGTACAAAACTCGGTTCTTTCCCTATATTGTTCCAGTGAAGTTCAATCAGTTCAGTTTGATTCAGTTCAACTCACTAATTGGCCATGGATTAAGTGCCAGGGAATATGCTAGGCTCTAGACATATAAAGATTGGAGCATAGTAAATAAACTACCTCCATCCACAAGGAATTTGAACATAAGCTGTCCATTGGCTTGCTGTTAAAATAGTGGAGGGGTCGCAAAGAAAGCAACCTTTGTACAAAGGATGTATCTACCAGGATGTGAACCATCGGATCTGCCTTCACTGACCTGTCTTTAGAACCTATTTAATTCCACCCTTGGATTTAAATTAAATAGGTTGGTTCTTACAACTAACCTATTTAGTTCTAATCTTTACCCTCCTATTTCAGAATTATTAAATTTGAAATTTTTATGTAAAGATATTCTAAAATCTTGCTATTTAAAATTTAGTCTGTGGACCAGCAGCAACGGCAGCACCAGGGGCTTGTTAGAAATGCTGGATCTTGGCTGGGCGTGGTGGCTCACACCTGTAATCCCAGCACTTCGAGGGGCCAAGGTGGGAGGATTGCTTGAGCCCAGGGATTCAAGACCAGCCTGGGTAACATAGTCAGACACTGTCTCTACAAAAAATTTTAAAAATTAGCCGAGTATGGGGGTGGGTGCTGTGGTCCTAGCTACTCAGGAGGTTGAGATTGGGGGATCACTTGATCCTGGGAGGTAGAGGCTGCAGTAAGCTGAGATTGTACCACTGCACTGTAGCCTGGGAAACAGAGGGGGACCTTTTCTCAAAAAAAAAAAAAAAAAAGAAAGAAACAAAAAAGAAAGAAAGAAAGAAAAGGAAGGGAGGCAGGGAGGGAGGGAGGGAGGAAGGAAAAAAGGAAGGAAGGAAGGAAGGAGGGAAGGAAGGAGGGAGGGAGGGAAGGAAGGAAGGAAGGAAGGAAAGAGAGAGACAGACAGACAGACAGACAGAAAGAAAGAGAAAAGAAAAGAAGGATCCTGAGTCCCACCCCTGACCTATTTCAGAATCTGAAGGTTAAAAAGGATCCACAGGTAATTCATATGCACATTAAAAGTCTGAGAAGCAATGCCCTAAAACAATCATCAAGTAAATGGGCTTGCAACCATGTCTTTTGGGGGTGCTATTTTCCCATCATCAAATAAATGGGCTTGCAACCATGTCTTTTGGGGGTGCTATTTTCCCAAGCAGAAAAAAGGACTTGATTAAAGACGACTTGATTTAAAAAAATCAGAAAGTAGCTGTGACACCATAATTACAAATGCAACTAAAATACAATTGTGAAATGCAGCAATCAGTCTCATCATTAATACACTTCCAGTGGAATCAGCTGTACTCAAATATAGAGAATGATTCATTTTGGTTAATTTAGAAATTCTAGTCCCAGATGAACAAAGTCCTCTTGTATTCCTCCTGCTTTTCAAAATCTATAATGGTTCTGTGTAGCGGTTTTATACATATCAGAGGGCCTAAAAAATTATTCTATCTTTCAAGAAAGACAGGAAATTTGTGTTAATGAAAACACAGATTTGAAAAGGAAATGACCTCTTTTTTTTAGAGGTACCAGTGTTTAAAAACATCTCACTATTCTGAAAGAAGATAGATTCTACTGGATTATAATGAAACAGATGAGACAAGCTGTTCTATTTTATGAGTATTGATTCCAACGGGACTTAAAAAATTGAAATCTAGAGGAATGAAATCAGGAGAAAAGCCTCCCCCTCTCAGAAAAACCCCCAAATCTCTTAACAACTTAAAAGAGAAAGACAGAGAGAAGGAAAAGACAGAAAAAAAAAAAAAAAAGAAAAGAAAGCAATCTAATCCCAACCACCAGATTGACTTAGAGCTCTGAAAAATACACACTAAATTTTCATTATTCCAAGACTTAGCTCATGCCTCAAAATTTTAAGTGTAGCTTCTTTGGGGAAATAAATGTGAAGACTACAAAAGCATCAGTGCATGTTTCCACACCCAGTGCAGTCAGTTGGATTCTGCAGGTCTGGGCGCAGCGAGAGATAATTTCATCCTGGTTTCCTCCTAGGCTAGGAGGAGCGTGCATGCAGCTTAGTAACTGATCTAGGAGCCTCCCCAGGTCTTCTGAGCTTTCAGTGCTACCCTTAGGAGGCTTCCGTGAAGAGTTTTGATAGGAAATTTCCTTCTCTGACCCCTATGATGCTTGTCAGTCTGTAAGATTGCTTAATTGGCCTAGTTTTGTTACTTCTGATAGGCAGCATTTCTACACTCTAGGATTTTCAGGCATCTTGAACTAGAAACAAAATACAGAAAAAAGAAAATTCTTATTCAAGGTCTCCTGAGACAGCAAGGCTAGTCACTGAATCTTTTTTTGTTCTTTTTTTTTCTAAACTAGAAGCTGAAATGACACAGGATCTGTTAAGATTCAAGATACTTGGTTTAAAAGGTTTAAAGTAATTCTATAGAGCTCATGAATTATTAATGACAATATGAAAAGCCAGCCTCTGCACAAAGAGCTGAGTTATAGCCCAAGTGCATTTAGTGATGAAAATACATAAGAAACCAATACAAGATTTCATGAAAACAAAGCAATGTTGTTCTGATGGATGAAAAATTCTGAATGGATACATAAAATTATGGATTAAAATTGGGGAAGAAAAGGCTGTTGGAAACAGAAGGACATATGTACATTTTTAAAATATCTGAAAACCTGTCAAGACATTCCAGTAGACATTAGTCTAAATCATCACAATAGGCTAATTTTCTTAGGCAACAGGGTTGCAAATAGTATCAAAATGAAGATGAAATCCAAATACAGACGCTCCTCAATTTACAATGGGTTATATCTCAATAAACTTGTTGTTAAGTGGTAAATGTTGTAAATTAAAAATGCATTTAATGCCCCAATAAACTTATTGTAAAGTCGAAAAGTTGCAAGTTGAGCCATTGTAAGTCTAGATGCTCCTCTATTTGCAATGGAGTTACGTCCAGATAAATCAATTGTAAAGCTGAAAAACTGTAAGTTGAACCACTGTAAGTTGAGGACCATCTGTATGGAGGACTGTGACAAATGCTGAGGGTTGGCTGAAATAACATGGTGA